ACCTATCAGAGCTTATCTAGACGGCGAGGAACAGAAACCAGTCGAAAGACGGAACTACGTCGGTGGCCTAGTGGTTAGGCTCTCGGACTCGCAACCGTAAGGTCGTGGGTTCGAATCCCGTCAAGGACCCGACGTTGTGTCCTTGGGAAAGGCACTTTACACGAATTTTCCTCACTTCACCCAGGTGGGAATGGGTACCCGGCTATAGACAGCGAAAGATCGTGTCAGTTTGTTAGTGTTTGAGCGCTTAATCGGCTGCTTGCACTGCATGCTTACCGGGAAGCTGAGAATGTTTCGGAGTGTTCTATGGTCTGCTGGGGTAATAATATAGTGTAAAGCGCACAGAGCCTGCTGTTGAGCGGGGATATGCGCTATACAAATGCTATCTATCTATTATTATTATTACGTGTAGGCCTGCTTGACAAAATTAATGCGAAGCATTGTAGTGAAATCGGGCGCTCGTCAAAATGATGAAATCGAAGAAACTGGCATTTTTCTGCCCGATAGCCAATTTTTATCCATTTTTTTATTTTTACTCAACGCCTTTAACGTCCATTTAAAAACATATTTCTGTGTGGATTTTACTGAAAATCGGTGAATTAAGTTACAAAAAAATGTAAATTTGCAGATTCCAAGGACTCTCAACTTTGACGGCCATTTTCTCGATAATTTCCCGTCTGAAACCAGGCGACCCCATCTCCTTCAATCTCAAATATTTCGACTTCTGTTCATGATAGATGAGTGTTTTTTTCACCCAAAAGCAAGACAATAAACAAGCTTTAACCCTATCCGTACGCCCTGGGGTCTTTTTGTACCCCCGGGGTTGCATTCTTCACATTTTAGAATACTTCTAGAGCGAAGATCTCTTTGAAACTTTTAGTATTTCTCTAAAAATCCTTTTGACAGACTGCTATGCAAAGCGTTCGGATCGGATTAATGAGTAAATTTCTTCTTTGGAAAGTAGTGGCACAGAGTTCCCCACGTCGTATGGATACGATAGGAAAACAAGACGTACGGATAGGGTTAAGATGATACCAATAAATCCACATGCCCAAAAATTGACGAGTCCCTGATTCCACAGCGTCGAGACACATATGTGAGGCAGCGTGGGGGAATCAGGCTCTCGTCAAAATAATCAAAGTGAAGAAACTTGCATTGTTCCGCAGGTTTGCGAATTTTTATTAAATTTTTGTTTTTTGGCTCAACACCTTTCATGCCCATTAAAGAACTTATTTCTGAGTGGATTTTTCTGAAAAGCGTTGATTAAAGGTACAGAAAATGTAAATTTTCAGTTACCACGGACTCTTAAGCTAAGGAAATAACTAACCTTTGAGGGCCATTTTCTCACAAATTTTACCTCTGAAAACAGAAGACCCCCACCTCCTTCTTTTGCAAATATCTCGACTGGTATTCAAGATAAATGGATACTTTTTTCCTCCAAATAAAGACAAGTGAACAAGCTTTAGGATGATACCACTTACTCTACATGCCCTAAAATTGACGAGAGCCTGATTCCACCACGCTGCCTCATGTATTCCCCACGTGAGACTTGGGCACGTTCTTTGCACGCAAGGCAAAGGGCTCTACTACATTGTACACCCAAGGCACACACCCACACATGAACCTTACACGACGACAAATACAAGTACAAAAAGAAAGATCAAGGGTCAAAGAAACGAGTAGATTTTCTTTGATGAATGGTTTTACGCCCCCGTCAACACATCTTAATGTCTTATTGTGCTGTCAACAATTCGTGGCGCAACTTATCTTTAACAGATGAATCAGTGTCACCCATACTTGACACAGCTGTTTGTATCAATTGGTCGCTTTTAAGCACAAGGGGGCTATCCAGATAACTGCTCTTTTTAGAAAATCGAAGGCAAAGTTTTTGCCCCTTGTTCAGTTTCTTTAAAAGACAAGGAGGGTTTTCTCTGTAACCAAACAAATATACGCACTAACGAAACCAAACTTGAATTCTCCTATAGGTAGCGCAAAGCCCAATTTTGGTGTAGGTCGAGATTTCTGGAAACCCCCGAAATCTGGGTTAGTCCACTAGTCCTTAAAAATGACCAATCTGTCTTAGCTTAATCATATTTTTCCACACAGTTAAGGCTAGATCTAAAAATCTTTTCTTCATAAATGTAAATAAAACAGGGGCCTGCTACAAATCTCCGTCACGCGCAAAGTGGGATTGTTCACAGCACTCCCCGCTTCTCACACACATTTTGCATACGCATATATATATGGCCTACGTTACTGCTAAACCAAAGACATATTTTAATGGCAAAACTTGTTACAACATAGTCTATTAATTTTATAATGAGCACTTTTTGCACACAAAAAGTTCTCAAAACATGCGTTCAATAAGTAGACCTATAATGTTGCCATTAGAAAATAATGACGGGCTTGCTTTTAAAAGTGATATTGTCCAAGCTGTAAACCTTTTAAAATCTGTAGAAACCACCTTCCAGGATTTTTTATGTGTACTTATTAAGGAATATTCTAGATTACAGCAAAAATATGTTTTAAAAGATATTGATCTGTTAAGACGAATTGATACGAGTCATTGTACGAAAGCTGGAGAGTTTGTGTTCGTTAGTTTAGGAAATATTAAAATCGGATAATAAGTTGCGCCGCGAATTTTTGACGGCACTATAGATCACTTTGGGAGCAGGTTTCGACCTTGGCTGTCAGAACAGACCCAAACTGAGAGGAATGCAACATCTCAGCAGAAAGACCGAGATACTCAGAGTGTCAAGACAAACTGTGTTGGTTTGTTTGTCTCCGTAAAGAATAGCATATCGACGGGAGAGGGAGAGGGGGGGGGAGAGTGGGGGGGGGGGAGAGGGAGAGAGAGGGAGAGAGAGATGGCGGAGGAGAGATAGGGGGGAGAGGGAGAGGGAGAGAGAGGGAGAGAGAGAGGGGAGAGAGAAGGGGAGAGAGAGGGACAGAGAGAGGGGGAGAGGGACAGAGAGAAAAAAGAGGGAGAGGGGAAGGGGGAGAGAAAAGGGGTAGGGGTGACACGGTGTGTTGCCCAACAATCATTTTTACATTTGTATGTGACTATGACTGTGTTACCGAGAGTCTGTGACGTCAATTTGTAAACCCTCTACTGTGAGTGGTTGGTGGGTGCTCTGGTGTCATTTGCTCCCTCTTTCCTATCAAACGTCTATCGTCCTTATCTCTCCTCCCTCTTTCCTATCAAACATCTATCGTCCTTATCTCTCCTCCCTCTTTCCTATCAAACATCTATCGTCCTTATCTCTCCTCCTTCTGTCCTATCAAATATCTATCGTCCTTGTCTCTCCTCCTTCTTTCCTATCAATCATCTATCATCCTTATCTCTCCTCCTTCTTTCCTATCAAACATCTATCGTCCTTATCTCTCCTCCTTCTTTCCTATCAAAATTCTATCGTCCTTATCTCTCCTCCTTCTTTCCTATCAAACATCTATCGTCCTTATCTCTCCACCTTGTGCCTGTTTGTTGTGTTACTCCCTTATCTCTCCATCTTGTGCCTGTTTGTTATGTTACTCCCTTGTAGCACCTCAGATTCCGGCACTTATTCATCATCATCATCCAGTGCCAGATCTGCGACAGACATCGACGATCATGGTTTTCCATTCATTCCTTTGTTCGGATGCTCTCAAAAAAGCTACGTTTCCCTGATCTTTTCCTGTTACCCATTTGTTTAGGTTCCCTAAGTATGTTGTTCTGGGCCTACTCCTGCCTCGCTTGCCCTCAATTTTGCCAGTGAGAGCTAGATGTTCAAGACCCTTATAATGTCTATTCAGGTGTCCCAAAAACTGCATTTGTCGTTTCCTTATATTATGACCTGTATAATTGTGTTGCTAGTGTTGTAAAACTCTTACCAAAATAAACGACCCTTTATTGTCCCGTATGAAGTGAAACATTTCTTTAAAATCAAAATCAACGCTGCTGCAGTCTCACAAACATGTACACACGACCTATCGCGCACACACACACACGCACGCACGCGCGCGCACCGCAAGTACTCACACAACACTCCTAGTCTATACTATTCTTTACCAATCCTTACAATAAGTTGATAGCCTCTACTTTTCCTCCCCCGAAAGCGCAAAGACTGTTGATGGGAGCGCTCCGGAGTTCCCAACCCAACCCCGCCTTCTCTTTCTCAAGGCTTTTATTGCCCACACGCATCAAATATTGTGGGAGTTACGGTGCCCTGTTGCCTTAACCCTATCCGTACGCCGCGTTTTACTATCGTATCCATATGACGTAGGGAACTGTGTGCAACCACTTTCCAAATAGGAAATTAACTCGTTAATCCGATCCGTGCGCTTTGCATAGCAGTGTGTCAAAATGCTTTTTTGAGAAATACTGAAAGTTTCAAAGAGATCTTCGTACTAAAAGTATTCTTTGATGTGAAAAATACAACCCCGGGAGAACAAAATGACCCCAGGGCGTATGGACAGGGTTAATTACTACGTTACAATCTACGACTCCTGAACAAAATAAACGCTCACAGAAAAAACAAATACAAAAAAAAATAGATAAAGAAACAAAGAAAAAAAGAAAAAGAGAAAGAAACAAACAAACAACAACAACAAAAAAAAGAAAAGGAAGAACCCAACTTCCCTCACTCGGGGAAAGTGTCAACGCACAGCAACAAGAATTGCGTTCTCACAAACACCTACCCTAGATCTACGGCTATTTTTGTCAAGTGCCACTTGGCCCCGGAAGTAGGCTCCTTGGTTGTACTCACGGAATGCATCAGAGAAAAGTGCAACCGTATTCTTAAATTAACAAAACCTTTTCGTGAACTCAATGGGCGCAGCGCTCCTTGCTCCCATATTTGGGCAATGGTGTCATCTACGCTTAGTTCATGTCCTTGCATTTTCCATTCTCGCGTACTGTTGTGCGTAACTTGCGTCTAAATTGGGATTCAAGTGGGGGTGTGCGGACAATCCTCTAAATACGGAAAATGTCGTCGGCCACAGACTACTATAAAAGTGTGTACGTTCACAGTCAAAACCATCAAACTGACAGCAGAACAGCTAGTTGTCACTTGCTCTCTACACAAGCCATAAGCGTGCAGGTATCCACAGCGGCTGTTGAAACGTCGTTATTAAATAAAGTAAAACAAACTGTGTCGAAACTCTACAAGAAATCTATTGTTGATCTGAGAAGCGGTTGTTGAAAGCGTATTAAACTGTTGGAATTACATCTCCTTTAGAAGAGCCACAAAGACTGATTCTAAAGCTAAAATGTTCAAGCTGATCTGTACGTTGCTGTTGGTCCAGGTGGCGGTCTACGCCCGTGTCGTGAAACGCGAGACTGTGGTGGACTTGGGAGATCATCTCCTGGAGTGTAAACAAGAACCCATCGAGTTGGGCATCGTGCTCGACTCCTCCAGCTCCATCAGTCATCCAGACTTCCAAAAGAGCATCGCGTTTCTCCAGGACTTCTTGAACCAGTACGAGATCGGAGACGGCCCCAATGACGTCAGGGTGTCCATCATCACATTCGGCAAAGGTATCTACAAGCAGGACGCCTTTAACCTGGACACGTACCACAGCAAGGAGGACGTCATCCAGGCTATCGGGAAAGTCTCTCACAAGGTTGGTCTCTACACGTCCACGGGAGCAGGCATCAAGTACATGAGCGAGACACAGCTGTCTAAGAATGTGTCCAGACCCTGGGCTGACCGCATCAGTATCGTCATCACAGACGGCAACTCTCAGGTTTGGCGCGAAACCAGAGACGCGGCCCAGGCAGCTCGGGACAGCGGTATCGTTATGTTTGCCGTGGGTGTGGGAAACGTCAGAGACGAGGAGCTGCTCAGAATCGCCGGCAACGAGAGCAGGAAGGTCAAGGTTGACAACTACGACCAGCTGAAAGAGATCAAGACAAGCCTGGCCCACAAGACCTGTATCAAGAAGGAAAAGACAACCACGACCACCACAACCACCACCCCGGTGCCTCAGACACAGACGTGTGGTGAGGAGAACCCCGCCGACATCTACTTCGTCTTCAGCCCCGCCGAGCTCGGCCTTGAGGTCACATCATGGACAACTTCCTTCGTCTCTAACGTCGTCAACCAGGACCAGATGGAGCACGGTTTCCGGTTCGGCGTCGTTTCCGGTTCCTGTCCTGACGACGAAGGATTTGACTTGGACGACTACACAACTGCTGACGACATCGAGAAGAGAATGACCAACTACCTGATGCCGCGCATGCCCGCCCTGGTGGACAGACTGTCCCAGTTCGGCTACTCCGAGATCGCCGGAGGCCGTAGCGAGGCTCGTGACGTCGCTGTTCTCGTGGCCAATGGCGGGAAGATGAACAAGGGCCTGGAAGCGGAAGTGAGTCGTCTGCAGCAGAAGGGAGTGCAAGTCTTCATCGCCGACCCCAGCGCGTCTGGTGTCAATGTAGAGGGCGCCATCACTCTCACAGGCCGCAGTGTCAAGGACGTGTCTGCCAACCTCGTGACCCACCTGTGCCCTGTCAGGAACTGACTGGCTTGACATCCGACTTTAACATCTTTTCAGTTTTCGTCCAAGATCCCAGCAGTGACAAAGTAGCCTACAGCACACTTAGTTCATGTACCGGTACCACTAGTCTCCACATTGGAAATATTCTCAAATTGTATCAATGTTAAATCATTTGGAATACTTCCACCGTCAGGGGAGAAAGTTTTACTGTGATAATATCACTGATATACGCTTATTTACAAAGCATCAGGATAAATGTATATAATATATTTATCCTGTTTCGATCGGCTCGTGAACTATACTACGTGTATACATGCATAGCCTACCCAGAAATAAGAGATGCAAGACTTGTGTGTGTGTGT